TTTAGAAATCATTATTAGACCAGTGATTAACCCAATCACACACACACACACACACACACACACACACACACACACACACACACACACACACACACACACACACACACACACAATTGATTATCAAGTCAAATTTATAGCCTTTTCCTCCCTAGACAACTTCTGTGGGACTTTTTTAGAGGTACTTTGCTGCTTGATGAAGAATTGTTAATGTAAGAATCTTTTGCATGATCAGATCTGATGTTCTTGAGTAATCTAGCAGTCAAATAACACCTGGAACACCATGCAAATCCAGGCTGGAGCGCTGCTGATGCTAGAAAGCTGCAGGAAAAGAACATCAGGCCGGAAGACTTGATGCGTTGTTCTGTGTTCTGCAGAGAGAAGCAAGAATCTGACATTTTTTTTGACTGTGATGAATTTTGGCACAACACTTGCTGTTTATTTTAAGTGTATTGAGTTTAATGGGATACGAGGATTACTGAGTGGAAAAGGGGGTTGATGGCTTTAGTTAACTGTCACCACACCCTTCCAGTCTGTTGGATTTACTTACAACAAACAAACGGCAACACCACCTTCCTCAAACACCAAACCTGTAAGTGCTCTGGGCAAATCTGATCCTCACAGTCAAATCTGGCAGGAGCTGAAGTCGGAGACACGTTCGGTTTCTCAGCAAGACCAGTCGTGGCCACATCGCTGAGCTGATGAGGAAAAAGCAAAGATCTTCATAAAAATCTAAAATCACAAAATGTGAAAATATTTTAAAAGCTGCCCAGATCTTATTTCATATTATGAATCTGTTCAAAGGTAGCCCTAGCACTCATACTTTTGATTGCTTACGTCCTCAATAAGCATCTGGGACAACAAGGCATGCAAACCCTAGCCCTCCCGCTCAGGGGTGGACTGGCCTATCTGGCATTCTGGCACTGTCCCGGTGGGCCGCTGAGCCAAGTGGGCTGCTTGCCCAGTTTGGGCCGACACTACTCCACAGCTGGTGATCTGCAGAACATTAGCTACATGCTAACCCGAAGCTAACAGAGTTTTTCCAGGAGTTTTTAGCAAGAAAAACGCGGTAGAGCGATGACGCAGGAGTTGTTTTACCGCGTTAGCATGTAGCTAATGTCCCGCTGATCTCCGCCCGTGGAGAATGAGCTGATCTGGAAGGCCAGGGCTCCCGGTCGCAGCGGTCTGGCCCTGCTTGTAATTAACAGTCCCAGTCCATATTAGATCTCACATTCGGCCTAGAGACGAGTCTGTGGGCGGCAACACCCCCCACCCCCTCCGCTCTCCCAATGGGGAGGGCCGACGATTGGTAAAAATGCCAGGGCCGAATTTTGGTCCCAGTCCACCCCAACCCCAACCCTGGTCTGAGCGCGACGGCCTCCTCTCCCCATTTAATCAGAAAAAGCTTTATTGCCAGCGCTCCAGCGGTCCAGAGCATAGGAGCTTGACTCTGCAGCACAGCCTGACCAAGGTTACACACACATGTAGACAGAACAGATACAGGCAGACCACGAGAGCAGCCATAATGGCGCTCATTTCAATTAGATGAAAGGGGATTACATGAGGATAAATTGGGGGAGGGGGAAAAAGGCATACCAGAGTTACTCCTGGCAGGGCGTAGCTTTACTACGCAAAAAAACGCCTCAAACATATAAGCACGAACATCAACATTTCACAACATGAGACACAGAGAGGAAGGTGGTGGTGGTGGTGGGGGGGGGGGCTAGGATCCTGTTTCCCCAGCGAGAGCAGCCCTGTGTGGCGCTCAGCCACTTTAGCCACAGGTGGGAGGGAGATCTTGGGAGGAGCGCAGAGCACATCGACACCTGCAGGTTGATGACCTCGCCAGGCTGAAGTCCACCAATCTGAAGGTGGGGGGGGGGGGGGGGGGGGGTAGGTCGGGTTTTCACAGCATCTGTTTGCATTCCTTCGTGGGGGGTTGTTGTTGGCATTCACATGGCTGCCATGGCGTCAGATTCGGATATCAAGACTTTGTTTGGGTCAGGCAGAGATAATTTTCCTCTCTGCCTTCAGTCTGTAACTGATCATTCAAGTCCTCCAGTGAAGCCAATTCAGGTTTTAAACATCTCCACACCGTCTGGTGACCCTCTCCGAGATGACATCCATTTTGCGCACTAATACCGGTAATGCAGCTAGAACATTGTCCAGCTTACGGTTCACCTCGAGTAACGTCCCAGTCTGTGAGGTCTCCACACGGACGGTGCTCTCCGTGGGTGCGGAACGCCCCCCAATCGCTCCCGTCTTCCCAAATTTCCAGAAAACCAGATATCCTCCCACTCCAATCAGAAGAAATCCAGTCATCATCAGGCCAAACATCCACATGTCTTCGACATCCTCAATGGACAGCTGAGAGAGGCATACGATCTTCCACTCCCTCCAAGAATCGAGCATATATCCAGCTGCGTGTGTCCCTTGTGGGCAAGTGGGAGCCCCCTCCTCCGTTCTCATCGTAGAAAAAATCTTATCAATCGCGTTGAATGACCAGTTAATAAAATCCATTCTAAAAAATAGGGTTTTTCAGAAGAAATGCAGAGAAGCGCTCTGTGGGCAGACAGGACAAAGAGCCTTGGGGAAAAAAGATAAGGGAGCAAAAGCAGAAGCGTCTGTACTCTGCGAGAGCCGGAAGAGAAAAGTGCCAATGTTGCCCTTTAACAATATTAGTTAAAGGGGAACTAGGCAGTTTAGGCTTGCTTTTAGCACCCCCTAGTGTCAGTTTGTAGAATCAACAATAATACTTATCTCCTCGCTGTTTGTTCCTCTTTTTAACACCTTAATCTAACAGCTGAAATGTCTCCTCAGCCTTCCTTAAGCCTGAGTCATGCGTCTGCGTCAGCGCGGAGACACGCAACGCCATTATCCGTCCTTGCGTAGGCCCCCGGCAGGCACGCAAGTACGTACGGAGTCTAGCTCACTTTTCTTAACATCTGTCGAACGAGACGGAGAACGCATGCTTGTGATTGGTCGGTCCAGAAACCTGAGATCACTTCCGTCATGACGCCATTCGCCTGTTGTCTGCCTAGACCTGTTTAGTGGACGGATGTCCCACCGACGCTGCTGTCTCCTTTTATGCTCTCGCGGGTATTTCAGCAAGATAAGTATTTCTTTGTCTAGATCACTCAGTCCCAACTCGATCAAACTTCTCTTTCTCGTGTTGCTTGCCAATTTTTCAGACCGCGGGAGTGATTTCGAAGGAAACAGTAAGACGTCATTGTACTGATACCTACGCTACGCCCTCTGTTGTCCTGGCGGAGAATTGCTTTGTAACACCTCTGCAACAAACGGGGAAGTATGAGAGCAAAACGCTTTCGTCAGTCCGTGCGTGTCTGTCCCTGGTGGAGCTGGCGCAGAAGCATGACTCAGGCTTTAGTGTCTACAGGAGCGGCTCGTAGCTAAATCAGCTGTGTTCATGGTCTAAAACATGCAGGAAGTATGCTGGAACCAGACTGTCAGCTCACTTTTGTCTAAAGCTGGGCGGACACTGCGACTTTTTCACTCGTAGCGTTCAGCTTCAGCTCCAACTGTACGACTTCCTCGCAGAGCGAATCTCACGAGTCATGTGCTCAGACTGTATGGCCCAGTTCTCAGATGCGACCTGACTGCTCACATCTGATAGCAACATGTTGGACCTACAAATTTGCTAAAAATAGCAGTTTTTACACAACACGCCGGACTATATTTGTGTTGTTATTGATGTATGTTGTCCTTCGGGAGTGCTGGAGGAGGAGGACACAGGAATTTATGGAGCTAACTAGCCTAACCAACATGGCTGCAGCTGTCCCACAGAACATAAACATAAGCTCATGTCTGCTTTTCTCATTAACTGATTGGATAATCTGAACTTGGAGTCGAAGTCTGTGGGCCCTACAGCTTACCACTGAGAATGAGTTAAGCATGTGATTTCAGATCTTCCGTGTCTAAAACGGACACTAATGGGCCGGCACAACAACGGCCCTGTCTCCGGTTTTTATAGAGGATTTAACCTACTGAGCTTGTAAGTATCCTGGCATAAACTTAGATAAAATACACAAATGTAACACAATCCTATGGGTGACAGAATGTTTTTAATACAATATTACTCTAAAACAAACCATTCTGTTCCACTGATAACTTTAAGCAAGCATAGAGCCCTGTAGCGCCATTTGGCGAGACCCAGCCACACTGAGCCCAAATGCAGAGGCATCCCTGGTGGTGGGAACAATGAGCTAACAGCTAATCACAGCAGGGCCATTAAAGTTTTCTACTCAACTCCAGAATAAGAAAAACAGCTCAACTAAAGTTTATTTCTATAGCACGTTTGCACAATTTGCACTGAACTTGAAGACCAAAATAAGAACACAATAGTACAACACATAAAGACAGTCAAGATAAAAAATCTACCAGAAATAAAAGCTAGTGAGTCTTTAAAAGGATCACAGTCGAGTGTGAAACAGCTGGAATGAGAATCAGCTCCTCTAAATCACGGTCTTTAGTCTGAAAAGGGTAGAATGTCTTCTCCAGGTCAGCAATGGGGTCTGTCCCAAGGAGTTTAAGTATCTCAGGGGTTTTTCTCAGTGTCAAGGCGCCTGGCCTTGCGAGGCGATGTCTTGCGAGGCCAGGCGCCTTGCTTACGAGGAAACTGTCCTTCTTTGGTCAAAGAAAACGGTTAAATGGAACAGACTTGCATCACGTGACCGCGGCTTCCACGGCGATCACGTAACGTCACGTGACACGGGAGATAACGTTTTATTTTATACGTATTAGTTTCAATATAAATAAATAACTAGCCTTTTACTTTTTAAATTGTTTATATATTTGTCAAATTAAATATTGTAAGTGAGTTACTACCCGCTAGCCACCGAAGCTGCAACTACTAAGCTACTAACCAACCATAGATAACTTCTTTGGATCTAAAAAAAAACATTTTCAGATATTTGCCCAATAACTACAATTATTTGACTTTCTTTTAAACTTGAAATTTGCCCCCGAAGTAGCTGCCGGCTTCT